GGGATGGGGAATACATGTAAATCCATGGCTAATTCATTTCAATGTATGACAAAAACTACTGTAATGATGTAAAGTAATTAGCCTCCAACTAATAAAAATAAATGGAAAATAAAAATAAAAGCATACTGGAAAGATTAAAAAAAAAAAAAATCTCAGCTCAACAACTTGAAACTAGCCATGGGCCAAGTCGCGAGCTGGCCTCTGCCCCAAGACTACAAGTCCCAGCATGCCGCGCGCCGGATCTTGCCCCCGCCCCTTCCGCTCCAGGCACCACCTCCTCTCGATGCGCCGGTGTGGGGCGCGTAATGGAAACGGGATGCTGGCTGCTTGGGGGCGAGTTCGAGGACTCGGTGTTCGAGGAGAGGCGGGAGCGGCGGCCTGGACCACCCGAGTCGTACCGCGCCAAACGCTGCGAGCCACAGGTGAGATAGCCTGTCTGCCTCACCGCCGTCACCGGGCCTGGTGGTCCCGGCCCGACAGCGCTTCAGACGCCCTAGGCCCGCGTAGCCTGTCCCCCGAACCCAGACCCTCTTGCCGCCCTGCGCTCACCTGGGCCTCCCTGCCAACCCTCACTCACCAGCCACACCGGTTGAGCCCGACATCCTCTGCCCCCGAGGGAATCCCCGCGCAGTCGGCTATCACGCCACATCTGGCGTTCGGCCGGTCTCCCCGCGCCTCGCTGGCTTGACTCCCCCGCTCTTATTCCCGCTGCTTCTGCAGCCGTACAGTCAGGGCCCCCAGAAATTCAGCCACCGCCCACTTTTCAGACCTCAGTGTTGTCTGCTCTCCAAACCGGGCCTGTCCTTGTTCACTGAGCTCCCCGTGCCCACGTTAACCCCGCTCAGGTGGTCAAAAACGTTCATATCCATTTCTCAAGGTGCACCTTAAATTCCGCCTCCTCTAGAAAGTCTTTTCTAACTCCCCCTTCCAACCGCATTATTTTTGTCTTTGGCTCCTTTCCCCTCTTTTACCTATTAACGCAGTTGTCAGTATCTCATAAAGCTCTTAGACCCAGAATGCCGAATGATGACAGGATTTTTTCAAGTCTGTAAATCTCATCTCAACAATAATAGTTCCTTTTTATTAAATAGTATTCCAGGCACTGGGCATATATTGTCTCATTTTTCCTTAAAATCCCTATACATACAGATGTCAGGCACTCTGAAATAACTGGATTGGATTGTACTTTTGCTTTATTTCACTTACATTTCCTCCTTGCCACGTGCAGTCTTTCAGAGTGGCCTACTTGATCCTGTAGACTAAACCAGGAAATGGACTTTTGAAGTCCTGTGGTACCACATTAAAAAGCCACAGTTGTGAGATAGGATGCTTGGATTCTAGCATTGACTTTACAGATCAGTAAATTGACTTTCAGAGTGTCAGTTCCTTATTCGTCATTTGAGAAAAAAATAAAATAATGTTTGTTGTCTCATAGGGTTATTGTGAGAGTGGAATGATATAATACTTTGCCAGGTGTAATGTGCTGTTTACTTATAAAGTAAAATCCCCCAAATCACTTGTCTTTAGAATTTATTTATTTGGCAAATGGTAAATCTCGTAAATTCAGAGAGTTACCGTTCACACCTCATTCAAGAAATGAATTCAGGCTTCATTCAAGTCCTGCTGGTTTTCCCAAGTGTAAAACTAGGAGTTTGAGTTGATTTGTTTTCCCTTACGGCTCGGTGTGTAATCAGGTGTTTGTCTTACCAGTACTTCACGTCTTAGTTTTCACCCTTGTTCACAGCTTTTCCCTCCTTTTCTAATCAGAATGGAGTATCAGGGTAGTTGTGATACCCGGGCATCTCTCTTAGAAATAGAACCGAGAAAGTTTGACACCATGGTGGAACCATCACAAATGCAGTTACTTTTGAATTAATAATAACATTTAACTGGGGACAGACTTCATTCAACTTCAGTGTGTTTTACTGTGCGTAGAAGAGAGGACGAGATACTTCTTTGGAGCTGGAAAACTGGCACACGGAGCACTTTTTGTCATCCCTGTTTTCTCATCTTAACATTGTTTATGCAATAATTAAAAAAAAAAATCTCAGTCTCACTTTTTTTTCTATCCATAGGGTTTAAAGCAGTAGAAAAGTGAATAAAATATTCCAGATGGACTTTTCCTGAAACTTTTCTCCTACAGTACGTTGGCATTTGATTGCATGGAAGCCTCCTTTCAGCCTTAATTTCTTTTCTTGTCTTTGCTTGGATTCTACTTTTGGCTTTCACACTTTCATAATAGCACTATAATAGCAGTTCTTTCCTATGTCATCTCTGTAAAGAGTTGTCAATTCCAGTTCCATCCACTCTAAGAATTTCTCTGCAGGAAAACGTATCTCAGTCTAAAGAACCACTGTGAACTGTGTTAGTTAAATGTAGATTCCCAGGCCCAAATTGGAAATGCTATGGAAACTAAATACTTTCATGCTTGTTTAGTTGAGGTACCATATTATTGGTATATTTATACTGGTGATAATTTTCATCAAAACTGAATCACCATAAAAATTGTCATTCTTGGGACTTCCCTGGTGGTTCAGTGGTTAAGAATCTGCATTGCAATGCAAAAGACGTGAGTTCAACCCCTGGTCTGGAAACTAAGATCCCACATGCTGCAGGATAACCAAGCCTGCCGGCTGCAACTGCTGAGCCCACTTGCTGCAATGAAGACCCAGCGCAGCAAAAACAAAACAAAAAACGTGTCGTTCTTCTTTGTCAGATATTTTCCTGAGTCTTATCCTGGAGAAGTATGTCTTTTTTGAGGTTTAATCAGTTATATATGGGAAATTGCCCCTGAGTCTGGGGTGGAAAGGGCTTCCCAGGTGGCACTTGTGGTAAAGAACCCAACTTCCAATGCAGGAGACAAAAGAGATGTGGGTTCAATCCTTGGGTCGGGACGATCCCCTGGAGGAGGACATGGCAACCCACTCCCGTATTCTTGCCTGGAGAATCCCATGGACAGAGGAGCCTGGAGGACTGTAGTCCATGGGATCGCACAGAGTTACTTAGCACGCCTGCACATGGGATGGAAAAACATAATCTCCTTGTCTATAATATGCTGTTTTCACAATTTCTAGTGGTTTTATGAAGAAACAGGGAGCAGCGATGATGTTGAAGCTCTGACTGTCCAGAAATTCAAAGGGGACCTGGCCTACAGACGGCAAGAGTATCAGGTAGAATTTAACATATAGAAGGTTGTGCCACTTGAAATGTTCTCTTGTCCACTGCAGCATATTTAAGTAACAGTGTACTGTAATAAGTTATGAGTGTGTTGCTTTTGGAGATGGATTTAATCTTCCGTGAGGTGTGTTTGTACTCTGAGAATCCCAAGCTTCTGGCCTTCTCCACACAGCTCTGTATGCTTTGTTTTGTTTCCTGTCACTCCAGTATAGAGAGCTTGTTTGGATCCTTGTAGATTCTTTATCTCCTCAGTATGCAGAAGCCTCTAGCTTGGATACCTCGTGGGGCCACAGGAGCAAGGCACCCCAAAATGTGTTTTAAAAAAGAAGTGGGGGAAAGAACTAACAACTAGCTATCAGCTTGCTTTTTATATCGACTTCGTGTCATCTTCACAAGGATCCTATTGTTGTTTTGCTCATGTGAAAAGGGTCTACAGCAAGTTAGTGACAAAACCAGGAGTCACATCCTGGTCTTCTGGGGTCCAGAATGTTTTAATTATATTCTGCAGCCATTTCTTCTCTACCTCTTAGAAAACTAGTACTGACTGAAACGCTCAAGTCTTCCTTTAGTTCATTGTAGGATCAGTTACAACATTACCTACTGCCTAGGAAACACATCACCCCCATGACTGAATTCTCTTTTCCTATTGTGTTTTCTGCCTTTCTCTTCATCCCTTTCCTTCATTTGCCTGTATTTAACAATTATTTGCCAGAAAGCACTGCAAGAGTATTCCAGTATCTCAGAAAAACTGCCGTCTACAAATTTTGCCATGAAAAGGGATGTCCAGGAAGGCCAGGCTCGATGCCTTGTTCACCTGGGAAGGCACAAGGAAGCCATGGAGATTGCCACAAACTTGGTGAGTGGTTTCTATGCCCATTTCCATTTGCTTTCTTAGGATGACTGAATAGTTTATTTTCTTAAAAAAAAAAAAAAAGGACAAAACAAAAAACAACTTCTTGCTGGCAGCAAAATCTGTGGGTTTGGATAAGCAGAAGGAAATTGTCAGTGGTGGAAGAACTTTATTATGATGAACAGTTTGGAGCTCCAGACATAATCATTTCCTTGTAATATTTTTTCCTATGTTATGCTCAAAATTCTTCATTGCCTGAAAACCTCACTTGCAAAGATTTTACTCTTGTTAGGAGTAAATAAATACTCAGTAAATTACCAGTGATCTTATTTCTTCTTTAGGTGTTTTGTTGTTTAGATTTTTATTTTCTGAAGTTTCCACAATGAATATATATTACTTTTATAAACAGGAAAAAAAGGCTGCCAAAAATTGAATAAATATCATACTAAGCCAGGCTTAATCCTTTTTATTGCTGATGGAGTCTGCAGAATTTTTTTTAAGCAGTAAAAAAGAGCACTGCTAGATTCTGCTTATTTTTGTTTTCAGATTAAAGCACCTGTAGGTTTTTTGTGAATATTTTATATGGGAGTGAGTTTGAGTCGACCAATCCTAGTTTATAGATGACCAGTTTTCTTCCTTAGAGGGACTTAATGAGGCACCAAGACACTGATCTTGAATCCTTCGAATCTCGTTGGCCAGAGATCAGCCTAAAGATGCACGCAATTGAATTGTCCTCCTCTATCTCGTTAACCAAGAGAAATCCTTAAATTTACTTGCCTGGGCTTCGTTGCATAGGACCTCAGCCTCTTGCCATGAGAGGGAACCTTGGAGGTAATGTCCTTCAGAACATGGAAAACAGCTGTGTTTTGTTCTTTCCTTTTCTCCGCTCTACTAATTATGCGTGAATTCTGAAAACCAGAAGATAAGATTACCCTGTTAAGGAAGCACATGGCGTGAACACAGTGAACTTGGTGGGTTTTAACAGTGTTCAGCCTCCCTGGTCTGCAAATTAACAGCAACTCGGGTTCCTCCGGTTGCTTTTTGTAGACATCAGTCAGCCGCCCTGCACTGCGGCCCGGCTCTGCCGTTACCTCCCTCTCCCTCCCATCTCCTGGTGTCACTGTTCTGCTTTGCCCTCCCCTGAGGGCCCCTGGAGGCAGCCAGGGCGATGTCAAGGCTGGGCTGTCTCTGGTTCCTTCTAGCTTAGTGAGTCTTTCTGTGTCTCAGAGAAAACTGTGTTGCCAATCAGCAGACGCCATCGAGCGCGAGAGGCAGGCAGGAGGAGGGACCAGCTGAAGCCCTCAGCTCCTCTCTCGGGCCTTGGAGGACTGCTCCTTGGGCTCCGGGGCGCCCTGACAGGCAGGAGTATCAGGGCGGAAATGGCACCAGAGGCTCGTGGCTCTCACCCCTTGCTTTGAGGTGAGATCGCTTCACATGATCTCAGTGAACCCTGCCTATTTGCATGGTTTTCTCATTTCCTGATACCCTGTGTTTTGTTTTCATTTTAAAAGTTTCTCCCTTCTTATAGACCCTCTTTTTTTTATTTGCTCTGGCTCATTTCTGGGTTTTGTTCCAGCGGTTACTGTCCCCTCACACTCTGTAGGGAACAGGTCAGCATTGAACAAAACAGACAGCAAGTCCTAGAGTGCTCAGCATGACATGAACATTACTACTGAAGTTTATTTGTCTTTCTTCTTGATTTTTGAATAAAATTTGTAATAGAACTTATTTCTTAATTTAAATACCTTACAGTCACTGGTAGGCTCATGTGATAAACTGTGGTAAGGAAACTGCTTTTTGACAGTTAATGACTTTTTTTTCTCATCTGTCACTTCACAAACATTTCAGTCCTACCATGTGCCCAGTTCTGGCTTCGACGCCAAGGAGAAAGAACCCTGTCCATACCCTGCGTTTACATCACTCACCTAGTAACTAGTGGGAGACTCCTAAGCCCACTAACACGCGTCGGCTCTCCTGAAGTACCTTTACTCTGTGACTTCTAGCAGGAACCGTTAGCTCTGCTACTTACTAGCTGTGTGACGGCAGGCAGCTTATCTAACTTCTCTGTTGTGACTCGGTTGCCTCTTCTCTAAAATGGGAATAGCGATAATCTATTTTAAAGGATTGTCATGAGGATTACATGAGTAAAGCAGTTATAGTAGTGTCTGGCATATGGTGAGCATTCTGTAAATGTTAGCAATCACCATCGTCATTGCATTACAGGACTTGCCACATTCTGGGAAAAATCACACAAACTCATTTAAATGGACTTGAACTTCCAGAGAGTGCTTTACTAGTTGTGTTCAGTCATGCTGACTCTTTGTGACCCTGTGGATTGTAGCGCGCCAGGCTCCTCTCTTCATGGGATTTTCCAAGCAAAAAGACTGGAGTGGATTACCATTCCCTTCTCTTCAGTAGTTAGGCCACCCAGAATCAATGCATCAGAATCATGGTTTGTATGCTACAGACCCCAACACACACTTCTTTCTCAATGTGAACATGTTTTTATTTGTATTTATTTATTTAAAAATCTTTATTGAATTTGTTACAGCATTACTTCTGTTTTATGTTTTGGTTTTTTTGGCCACAAGGGATGTAGGATCTTAGCTCCCTGACCAGGGATTGAACCCCTACCTCCTGCATTGGAAGGTGAAGGCTTATCCACTAGACCACCAGAGAAGTCCCTGGAAATGTTTTTAAACAATATGGAGCACCATGGACTGGTTGTAGCGGAAAGGTTGCATTTTCTGTAGCATGTCTATACATGTTGCTTTTCTTACTATAAATAAGAAACATGAAGATGTATTTCTCAACAGTTATTAGATATCTGCTATGTCTGAGGTGCTGTGCTCTGTACTGGGAATTCAGCATTGAACAGAAACTCTTTGGGGAAAGACAGAATACTGAATGATAGTGATAGTGGAACCGGAGCAGTTCTGTCTTGGGAAGGTATAGTATGACCTGATAGGTGACATGGGGCTTGAGCTCCTTTCTTTTCCCTCGACGTATGGATATTCAGAGTCTTCCCCAGGCTTTCACTCACTGCTGTGCCAGTTCCTCCTGGCTGCATGCTGGGTAGTTTTACTCTTATTTCTTGCTCAGTTCTGTGCAGGAGCTTGATCCAGATACTAGTAGGCCACATTTTCCTTAGACTTAAAGTCAATCGAATCTCTGCAGACTTTGACTTAGAAAAAGAAGCCCTTACCCACAGGGCTTTTGCCATATGGCAGGTTAGGCAAGAGGCGGTGCCTCAGGTTAAGTAGACTTGAAAAGGATTTTCTGATCAGAAGGAAACCAAGCAACCCCCTCTGGCCAAGAATAACTGGTCTTGATAATGGTTACCAGAGAAGGCATTTGGATTCAATTACGATGCATCATGAAACACTGAGAGCTTCAGGGCCATCCTGTTTAAGATGTCTAAGCCAAGTAGAATTTGGAAATAGAGTCCATTTGAATCCTCAAGGAAATTGCCATTTGGATTTTTAGAAAGCCTAGAATATTAAAATGGAACCATTAGCCCAGGGTATAAAAAAGTTGGCTTGGTTCTTTCAGATGTCTGGCTGAAGACAATTAAGATTATAATGCACAATTGAAAATAAACTGACTCAGAGGTTTTTGGTACTGAGCTTTGCCACGCCACTATCACCTGGATTATGTTACTGCTGTGACATTAGGGTGTTTGGGAAGGACTGGTGATGTTTTCTCGGCTAGTGTGTATTGAGGAGCCTGACGGGATCAGGGAGTCAGAGAGAGTTGGAGGTGACTGTACACACACACACATTTCTCTAGGTTTATGGTTTCAAATGAGATCTAGTGAGAAACACTTAGTTTGCTCTACTTGTGTGGCTAATGAAAGATACTTGTGATTTAGGACATGCGCAGCTTAGATTTTTAGGCATCTTCATTTTTATATGGGAAACATCCTGTAGTTTAAATGTTTTAACCTTTTTTTTTTCTCCTTAGGAAAATAAAGCAACTAACACAGACCATTTAACCACTGTACTCTACCTCCAGTTTACTATTTGTTCCAGTTTGCAGAACTTGGAGAAAACCATTTTCTGCCTACAGAAACTGATTTCTTTGCATCCCTTTAATCCTTGGAACTGGGGCAAATTGGGAGAGGCTTACCTGAACCTGGGGCCAGCACTCTCAGCATCGCTTGCGTCATCTCAGAAAGAGAACAGTTTCACCTCAAGTGACACGGCTATCAAATCCTCCTTTCCCCACTCAGGAAAAGACTATCTTTTGTGTTTCCCTGAAACTTTGCCTGAGAGCTCTGTGGAAGTAAGCAGTGGTAATAAGCAAAAGAATGAGAAAGCTCTTAAAGATATTAAAAACCGTATGACAGAAGAGAGAGCAGCAGTGTTGCTGGAAACTCAGATGAAAGCCTGTGCCTCTTTTATACGAACCAGGTAAGCTAAGAGTGGATGAAACACACATGGTACTAAGGTCAAAATAAGGATTTTATTTTTTCTGATTTCAAGCTTCTAAAAATTCTAGGCTAGACACCTGATATATGTTTTTGAGATTCTTCTCATGGTCTTGATGGGATCCTTTGAGTGTGCCCTTTTAGTATGTAAGATTTAAAAAAAGAACTATGCTTGCTCAGAAATACAGCTCATATCACCACTCAAGAGATTAAGGTTGGCAGATGTTAAAATTGGGGGGGGGGGGGAATTAAATGTATAAAACATTGACGAGGAAGTGATATTTTAAGCAAGAGATTTTTCACTCAAGTTCCACAGAAAGCTACTGAAGAAGAAAATCAGATGACCCTGAAGAATCTACCTTGTGGGTGAGGGTGGATGGTGGTGCCTCCCCTGAGACAGGATAGCAGTGGGCGAGCAGAACCGATTGAGGGTGGAAGTCCAGCTGGAGTCTTCCGTGAGGAGGTGGGGGGTAGAGCTAGAGGAGCTCCAGGAAGGATCGGCGATCAGAGGGAGTGTGAAGAGGCTTTGAAGGCAAGAGTTCTTGTGTGGCCTCTGAGAAGGCAGTTTCAGTCGCGGTGGTGACAAGCAGATGGCAGAGGATGGAGGGGTAAATGGACATGAAATGGAGGGAGCCAAGTGTAAGCAGTATTGTCCAGTGATTTCAGGAGCACAAGAGAGAAAGCAAGGACATAAAGGGGTTGTGTGTGAATGTCTCCAGAGGCCAGTAGATGATCTGAACAGAGTGAAGGCCAGTCAGCTTGCGTGTTCTTTTGTAAAACTCCAGCAGCTTCCCGTTGCACTGACTTAACATGAGTTGGCCCTGCCTGTCTCTTTCACTCCAGTTTGTTTTCTTCCTGGCTGTATTTCAGTCACAGAGATCCTCCTGATTTTCAAACACTTGAAGCTAGTTTTCGTGGCCGGGCTGCCTTCCCGGGCTAAGCCCCTTCTCCCAGATGTTCCTATGGCTGCTTCCTCACTATCTGAGCCTTGGCATGAATGGTGGCTCAGAAAATCCTTCCGGCACGGCCATGTCAGAGGTAGACGCCTCGTCCATCCTGTCTTGAATGTTTGCTTCGTGCCCTTCATCACTGCTTGAGATTAGCTTATTTACCTGTGATCTTTCTCCTGCTCCTTGAGGCAGAAACCTGTCTGTTTTGCTCACCAGTATCCCTCAGTGCCTGGAGTAGTATGTGCATTTCTGGAGGCAGGAAATGAGTTGAACAGGAGAGCTCTGCTTGCGGGTGTAACAGTGAGGCCGGAGGGAAATTGGAACAACCTGCACACTCAGTGTTTAAGAAAACAGCGAAGAGAAAGAGCTGCGGGAGGAGAGCAGGAGGAAGGAGAAGAGAGGGGACCAGGGCACGACCATGATCGGGAGGTCAGGGCTGAGCTGATTGCAAAGTGCTCATCAGAGGGTCACTGAAGGTTTGGCTCTGCTTCAAGTAATTGAAGCGTGCTGGAGAACCTCATTAGTCCTTGAGGTCAGGTTGCTGTGGCTTCAGGGAGACCGAAGGGTCACGGAGCACCAACTTCAAAGGGACTCCTCCTGGCACTTCTGGGGAGGAGCCTCTGATGGGGAGGCTTGTTCTCGTCACTCGAAACCGTTTGTGCTTTCAGTCACCCGACTTCTACAGGAAGCCCTTACGAGGTCTTTGCTCTCTAAAGGTTCCTTTGGAAGCTTGGTCTATGAATTTTAGAAAAGATGGTTCTCCAGTGTAAAGTTGTGCAGTTCGTTGCAAGTAAAGAGCTTTGGGGATTCAGATGAAGGTGAGGACCTTCTTAGCCTAGAAGACTTGCTTCCAGCCCAGTGCCCGTGCTGTGTGTGTGAATGTGTCCTCGTCCTTCTTGGGTGCCTCCAGACTAGGACCTGCTGTTTTTCAGGCTTTTGCTTCAGCTTGCCCAATCTCAGCAAACATCGTTTGCTTTGGAGAGGAACTTAAGGACTCAGCAGGAAATTGAAGATAAAATGAAAAGGTTCAGCTTCAAAGAAGACACTTTGCTGTTGATAGCAGAGGTGAGTGTGTCCCCCAGGGTTTATGTGAAATGAAGCATCACAGATATTTTTCCTGGCTCCGAGACCATTTAACGAAAAAAACAAAAAAAACACAGGGCTAAATTGCATCTTCTAGAGGACTTCTGTCCCCCTTCTTCCCGTGCCTTTTGATCACTTAACTGCCGAAAGTGGCCTCTTCCTCCTCTCTGACCTGCAGCAAGCTCATTTACTTGTCAGTGCTTGTTAGCACCTGCCTGCTTGAACATCAGAAAGGCCCCGTAATTGTTTCGTGAGTGCTGAATGAATGAATGTTGACATCTGGGCAGCTCTTTTGTCTGTCTTTCCCCCCATTTGTCCTCATAACACCCTGTGGGAGAGGCTCACAGAGGCTGTGACTTGCCTAAGGTCAGATTTTAAGTGGCAGAACTAAATGGGAACCCCTCCAGCTTCAAGTCCATTTTCTTTCTGTTCCACCCTGTTATTACTTTGACAGTTGCAGAGAAACTCAAATGTCAATTTTGTTTAACTGGTATTAGCTTTTTTAAAAATATGCTAATTGATGAGGATTTCTCCGGTGGTCCAGTGGTTAAGACTCTGAGCTTCCACACTGCAGGGGACCCGGATTTAATCCCTGCTGGGGAAACTAAAATATTGTATGTTTTGCTTTGTGGTCAAAAAAATTTTTTTTTTAAATGCTCTTTAAATTTCTTAACATGGCATTTGGAGATTTTATGTTATTCATGCTAATTCCTTTTAATATGTAATTGAAACTTGACTTTTCCCAGGATAATAGCTCTTTATCCATATACCTCCTAACATCATTCTTTCAAGAACTGCTGATGGTCTATCTGTCCTGTCTTCCTTCCCCAGGCTAAGCTCTCAGCTGGACCCCTTTTCCCTCTTCTGGGGTCATCTCCCCCGTCTGTTCTCTTTGAGCCTTTTTTCTGCCTTCCCCTTCCATGGGCTCATTCCCTTAGACCCTCAGACACATACAGATAGACCATCTCTCCCGAGTTTACGGTTGCTTTTGCTTCCCATCTTTCTTAGCATTCAGCACCATTGACCACTCACGTTTTGTTCCCCATTCCTTTTGCTTCCAAGCAGCTAAACTGCTAAAAATATTCATCTATTTTTCTCCTTTATTTCTTACCATTCCTCTGCTGTCTGGGACTCTGCTAGTTTCCCCTGTGTCTTAAGTAGTGACATTCCCTGAGCTTTCATTCAAGTTCTCTATTCTGTCTCTTTCTCCCACACAAATCATAACCATGCTTGTAGTTCCTGTTGTCACCTCTGGGTTGATGACCCTCCAGTCGTATCTCTGGTCCCATCTTTGGAACACTTGTCTCCCATCTCAGATCAGTGACTTATGGAGTCATTAATCCAAGGTGATTATTGATCTGCTGTCACTTCGAGTACAAATGTAAAACGAGGCTACTTGGCAAAACCATCTTTAGTCAGTCTCTGGTCAGCGCCCAGCATGGACTTGGCCATCAGTAAGTACCCGCTGAGAGGAAGCAGAGGGGAGCTAGAGAGAGCCGTGTCTTTGTTCTAGACTTAGTTTCTTTCATCGATCCTACCCGTCTTTCTCCTTTCACCCAGGCCTGGACCGTCCCTCACCTTGGGCCTCTCCTCTCCAGTCTCACCTCCTGCGGGGCCCACCGCCAACACCCTAGTCACATCGCCTCACATCTGCTCTCATAGTGACCTCCCGCCCTGGCTCCTCACTCTCCCTGCAGATCTGTCTTCAACTGTGCTGCTGGGCTCATCTTAAAACATGGCTTTGACCATGTTACCTGCTTACATTAAAAACTAAAATTCAATGTGTCATCATTACCTTAGAGATTGGGTCTAGTTCTGGTGCCTTGATATGATGTCTGAGGCCTTCCTGAGAGTAATCCCAGACTTAGGGCCTGGTTATTCCTTCCACAAACCTTTTGCTTCCACTGGACTAGTCTCCCATGTGTCACACACCTGTCACGGGTTTTCCCATCTCCATCTGCTTACTCTTCTCACCCTCAGAGGCCCAGCCTGTGCCGCACATCCTCCAGGAACCTTCTCCTGAATGTCCTGGTCTGTGGCAGTCTCTCCCTCCTCTGAGCTCGATAGAGTGATTGCTGAAATAGGTAGCTCTTGGGGCCACTGAAAATACAAGAGTGTCTTATCTTTGCAGCTAGATTTTAAGTTTCTTGTAAGACATCCTTTGTTGTTGTTATCCAACTCTTGTGATCCCGTGGACTGTGTAGCCCACCAGACTCTTCGGTCTATGGGATTTCCCAGGCAAGAATACTGGAATGGGTTGCTATTCCCTTCTCCAGGGGATCTTCCCAACCCAGGAATCAAAATGGGGCCACTGAAAATACAAGAGTGTCTTATCTTTGCAGCTAGATTTTAAGTTCCTTGTAAGACATCCTTTGTTGTTGTTATCCAACCCTTGTGATCCCGTGTAGCCCGCCAGACTCTTCGGTCTATGGGATTTCCCAGGCAAGAATACTGGAGTGGGTTGCTATTTCCTTCTCCAGGGGATCTTCCCAACCCAGGAAGCAAAACTGTGTCTTCTCCTTGACAGGCAGATTCTTTACCACTGAGCCACCCAGGAAGACCTGTTAGGTCTCCTTAGGAGATGTCTTAAACATCTTCGTGTTCTTCAACATGTGTGACAGATTGGAATAATAGTTCTCTGTCTGTGAATTATGCACCTGCTGAGCCCTCTTTTTGGAATATTGCATTGCTTGAATATTGCTGTTATTCCATTCTCTCTCTTTTTTTTCAATAAAAAAACATACCTTTGGTGTTATAGCTCAGATTTTAAAATACTACATTTTATTGAGTCCAACCAGTCATCAGTTGTTAAGACACATCATTAGTTGATGTGCCGCTAAAAGAAAAATAAGGTGCTTTTTACGCTATGACACAGCAGTGGTTATAAGATACAACTTAGTTTTTAGAAATGTTAAGATAGAAAAATAGAAATTGTCTTCGAATTGATGAAATTACCATACTTTAATAAATCCTGACAGTTGCTACTCATCCTGTCAGCCTTTGCCTCAAACAGTAAGTATCTTTGAAGATTTAAAGCCAGTGGAACCCGTTCTTTGAGTGGGTTTCTAATCCATTATGATTTGAGTATTCACGAACACAGAAGACCTCAGGGTTTGTAGGAAACGTAGAGATCATCTAGTCCAAATCCAAGTGACTAGTTCCCTTTACCACATCCCTGCCAAGTGGCTCCCTGACTTTTCATGATGATTGGTGGGAAATGTTCACTGTCCTTACCAAATGTGGTCTGATGGCATAGTGGGTTCAGATGCAAGCTTCCTGCAGACGTAGCTTTGTGGGTGTCTTGTCGAAGAGCAGCTCACACAGAATCTGGACCTGGCTCTCACCAGTAGGGGGCAGTGTTGCGCCTTCAGAGAGCGCTCGTGCTCGGAGGTCTCGGGTTGCTGTGGTGACCATCCTGGAGGGTTGGAGTCTCTCTGGGTCAGGAAAGGGCGACTCGGTTACGCGCTGCTCAGCTGTTGGCTGCCTTTGACGTCCCTGGAGAACGTCGTAAGAAGGGGTCTGTGCTCTGCACAGTAGCAGTTACGTTCCGCCCAAGCCTACTCTGGTGTCGCTTATGAGGAGGAGGAACCCCTCACGGTTGCCTTCTTGCCCCCGGAAGATGCTCTGCGATGTACGAAGGTCCGCTCAGCTCTCCCTGTGGCCTGAGTGGTGCTCCTGCCACATTTGTGCCTCCCTGATGTGTTCGCTCAGGGAAATATGAGACTAGCAGTAGGATCCTTACACATGTGGTCTTGGATCACCACTTCATAAACATCTTTTCAATATGTTAAATTGTCAGAGCTGTTCCCTGACTGCTGAAGAAGTTCTGCTTTTGTGAGAAATCCTTTGCACTTGATGACCAGCATGGTCTTACATTCCGTGTCTGCTGCACCTATTGGGAAAAGAGTTTTATCTTTCTTCCCCACCCCCGCCCCGCCTTTGCAGGTTATGGGCGAAGATATTGTCCCAGAAAAACTCCGAGACGAGGTTCACACGGAGGTCAAGTGTGTTGGCCCCGCGGCCCTGACTGCCTTGGCGATCGGGTCTTCGGAAGAGTTTGAAGACAAGTGGTTCAGAAAGATCAAAGACCACTTCCATCCCTTTGAAAATCAGTTCCACACAGAGATACAGATCTTGCCTTAGTGGTCCCTATAAAAACAAAACAAAAAACATCTTGTACTCTATTAGGTGTTCTGGTTTACTTCAGACAGAATCCTCTGCTAATCATGGAATATACTGAATTAAAAACAATCATCTATGTTTTATAAAAATGGCTTCTCTCCCAGATAATTTCTACTGTGTTCAATTTCTTGGTTTTTTGTTTTCTTTTTAGATTTCTGTCATTCACTTGTGTGAGGCCTACTGCCCCTTTATTTTTATTTTATTTATTTTTATTTTTTTTTTCCTACTGCCCCTTTAGAAGATACCTGTTGGAAAAGTGTTTAAAGGGACTTTTAGGAACTTGCCTGGCAGTCTGTTGGTTAAGACTCTGCCTTCCAGTGCAGGGGATGCAGGTTCAGTCCCTGATGGGGCAGCTAGGGTCCCACATGTTGTAGGTGCAGCCAAAAATTAAAAATAAATACAACATTATAAATTAGCTATACTTCAATTTAAATGAATTTTTTAAAATAAAAGAGACTTTTAGATTTTATAATCTTTTAAAAAGTTACTGTATTAGCAGTGTAAGTATCCATGTTGTTTTGGTAAATGCATCTTGAGTGTCCAGGAATGCTGAAATGTGATAGGAAACCATTTCTAGGAAGGGTGCGTTGAAGGCTGAGATTTACCACACCTCTAAGCCTGCACATTAACCTGCCAGTGTCAGGGAGGCTGCAGAAGACTTAATTACTCGTGGCCCAGGGAACAGGATTTATTATTGTTGTTCATTGCTCAGTCATGTCCGACTCTTTGCGACCCCATGGATTGTAGCATGCTAGGCTTCCCCGTCCATCACCATCTTCCAGAGTTTGTTCAAACTCATGTCCATTGAGTCCGTGATATCATCCAACCATCTCTTCCCCTGTCGTCCCCTTCTCCTGCCTTCATTCTTTCCCAGCATTAGGGTCTTTTCCAATGAGTCGGTTCTTTGCATCAGGTGGCCAAAGTATTGGAGCTTCAGCATCAGTCCTTCCAATGAATATCCAGGGTTGATATCCTCGCAGTCCAAGGGACTCAGGATAAGCTTCAGCCTATTTGTGTCCATTCCTTCGCCTCCAAGTCCCAAGGCAGGTAACACGTATGGGCCCAGATGAATGAGTGTATATGCAGTGAGGTGTGTTAGCGGAACCCTGAGCTTAGGAGAAGTCAGCTCCTTTATAACGAGCAGTAAGCAGGCCTGCCCTGTGCTCCAAGGTAGGACAGTCCTTTCTAAGATTGTTTGCTTCACATGCATCTCTGAGAAGATAGTCTGGAATGAAGGGCCGTAAGTGCCTTTCTCACAAGCTGTATAGAAACGTGAGACCTGTGGAGCTCTGTCCCAGGTGATTATCCTCTCTGTTCAGCCACACAAACTACACTTGGTCCGTAACATCAACTTCAAATAGAAAAGGCTTGCTTGAATTATCTGGGATGGAAAAAATAAATACAACATTATAAATTAGCTATGCTTCAATTTAAATGAATTTTTTAAAATAAAAGAGACTTTTAGATTTTATAATCTTTTAAAAAGTTACTGTATTAGCAGTGTAAGTATCCATGTTGTTTTGGTAAATGCATCTTGAGTGTCCAGGAATGCTGAAATGTGATAGGAAACCATTTCTAGGAAGGGTGCGTTGAAGGCTGAGATTTACCACACCTCTAAGCCTGCACATTAACCTGCCAGTGTCAGGGAGGCTGCAGAAGACTTAATTACTCGTGGCCCAGGGAACAGGATTTATTATTGTTGTTCATTGCTCAGTCATGTCCGACTCTTTGCGACCCCATGGATTGTAGCATGCTAGGCTTCCCCGTCCATCACCATCTTCCAGAGTTTGTTCAAACTCATGTCCATTGAGTCCGTGATATCATCCAACCATCTCCTCCCCTGTCGTTCCCTTCTCCTGCCTTCATTCTTTTCCAATGAGTCGGTTCTTTGCATCAGGTGGCCAAAGTATTGGAGCTTCAGCATCAGTCCTTCCAGTGAATATCCAGGGTTGATATCCTTGCAGTCCAAGGGACTCAGGATAAGCTTCAGCCTATTTGTGTCCATTCCTTCGCCTCCAAGTCCCAAGGCAGGTAACACGTATGGGCCCAGACAAATGAGTGTATATGCAGTGGGGTGTATTAGCGGAACCCTGAGCTTAGGAGAAGTCAGTTCCTTTATAATGAGCAGTAAGCAGGCCTGCCCTGTGCTCCAAGGTAGGACAGTCCTTTCTAAGGTTGTTTGCTTCACATGCATCTCTGAGAAGATAGTCTGGAATGAAGGGCCGTAAGTGCCTTGCTCACAAGCTGTATAGAAACGTGAGACCCGTGGAGCTCTGTCCCAGGTGATTATCCTCTCTGTTCAGCCACACAAACTACACTTGGTCCGTAACATCAACTTCAAATAGAAAAGGCTTGCTTGAATTATCTGGGATGGAAGAGCTCCCTTATGAGAAACAAATTTTAATAATAGACCAAAACATCAGCTATTGTTCCCCAGAGCTTTTGATTTTATTTTTCTCAGCAGAAGGAAGAGAATTCCAACCCTGGGCAGAAAGGTGAAGTCATCAGTATCTCCCATCCACTTCACTGTTCATTTCTCCCTTTCCCAGGCCCCTTCCCAAAAGAGACAAAGGTCTGGTTTTGTTTATAGTTTGAAACTCTTTTAGTATGAGTGACTGAGAACATGACTAGCAACTGCAGGTTTAGTCATTTATCTCTAACGTGAAACAAAAGACTTTGTATAATTAACAGACATTTCAATTTTTAGAAACCATTAAGTATGAATCCCCCCCCACACACACACACACACAAACCCTCCCTATTGCCCCTCCACCCCTCCCTTGAGTCATCAACAACCACTTACTGAGGACAGGCACTATGTGGTTGCCATGGAGACACTGGTTACTGTGGAGTTTACGGTCTAGTTGTGGGTGGCCTACAGGATAGAACCCAAAGGGAAAGTAGTTGCCAAGCCCTTCCTGACACAGCCTTGGGCTCCCAGGGGCTTCTCCTGTGTCCCCTCTCTCCAACTTTGAATGTGCCCTGTTGGTCACTGTTAGTCTTGCAAGCTGGCAACTCAGCCCGGAACCCCCCGCCCCTTCATGTTTGTATTGGGCTCACAGGTCTCCACCTGGTTTCAGCTTCCAGAAGTCTTGATTCCCAGGTGGTCAGTTTCACACTGTGCTCCTTCCCTGCTCTTTCGCCCCCATGTTGGCCCTTACGATGCTATCTTGTCATCGCCTGTTTTCCATGAGACAAAGCTTAAGCTTTGTAAAATTGTGGACTTGGACTGTCTTGTTCATATTTGTATCCCCAGGGCAGAATACCTGGCCTCTTGCCAAATGTTTGTGGAAAAGAATCACTGAATTAATTGGCCAGCATCTTGCTTTGTTTGCACAAAAGGTTAATACCCCAAAGGTCTGACAGTGCTGAGGCAATCTGCCTGGAAACGCAGTCCATTTCTGTCTCTGTAGCCAAAACTCCTTCCTCCTGCTCATCTGGGGCCTCCTGGAAATGACCTTTTCTCCCCTCACTTCTCTGAGCTTCCTGTCTCATCCTGGTCCCCTTCTAACTTGGCCCAGACTTTTAGCTTGCAGCCCTCTGGCTGTCCTCCCCGGCCCACTGTTGACGCAGTCCTGGACAGCTGAGTGGTCTGCCCACACCTTCACTCCCACCCCGCCTCCCTTTCCTGGCAGCGGCGTGTCCACACACACGTGTGGACAGTGTGAAGAATCCAGTCTCCTATACCCCGATGCCCCGGCTGTAACGCAGGGCAGGAAAGGGCACCCAGGAAGACTGAGTGTCATCACAAACAAGTCAGCTTGGTTATTTCCAGCACAGATGGTGAAGGTGATTAATTGAGCAATGATTATGCTAAAGAAAAATCTCAGGCCTGTGCTCTAACCCCACCCTCTTGTTAACGAATGAATCACTCAGGTGAGCAGATGTGAAGCACTGGGGTGTCTGTCTGCACCCCGTGGGTGGATTGGGAACCAAGGGCAGTTCTTCGTCTCGTGACTCTCAAAAGGCCTGTCTTCATTGTTTTCTCCCAAGGTGGGTGGTGCGACACTTGCCCAAAACTTGAGCTGGTGAGAGTCCTCTGTCTTTTATACTCCTACACCCCTGCAATCTTATACTGTAGCCAAAGGGATCTAACAGAAATACTACTCTCAGAATCCTTCAGTCATTTCCCAAATCCTGAGGCCTGGGAGGCCCTATGTGGTCTGGCCCTGGCCCACATCACCCCAGCTCACTCTGATTTTTTTCTCATTTCTTTGAAATCCACAAGTGGCCTCCCACCCAAGCCCTATGCCCATCCAGTTACCTCTAGTCGGAACACTCTATCGGCAAGCCTCCAACCCTGCCATACACTTGCCATTCCTACAGATCCCAGCTCAGAGGTCACTCTCAGACAAGATGGTTCTGAGTCCAGACTTGCTCAGGTTCCCCCTTTAAATGTCAGAGTGACTGCTTTTTTTATTCCCCAAAGGTACTAAGTTTCAGTCACTAAGTCATGTCCAACTCTTTGCGACCCCATGGACGACAGCATGCCAGGCTTCCCTGTCCTTCACTATCTCCCAGAGTTTGCTCAAGTTCATGTCCTTTGAGTTGGCAATGCTGTCTAACCATCTAATGGAATTGACACTGAATCCTCCTTGCAGAGCAGAGGCTCCAGGACTGTCTCTGGTTTGCCGCTTCATGGTGGAGCTCAGCTTCCTGGACACGCCTTGGCTTTCTGCCCAGTACTGCCTTCCTGCACCCCAGGTCCGCCTTGGGCAGAGACAGCCTGAAGCCTGAGGAGCCAACAGCCCACTCCCCCGGAGCCCCACTGCCGGCGTTGCAGGTGCCCCGCCTACCTGTGGGGGACCACATTCCCACAGGGACATCCTTCATTTTAGGAAAACCTGGGGTAGAAATCTATGAAACAGATCCAAGGCCGCTATTTACAAAAGCAATCATTTTAAATAGCAGCTCTCTAGTGCTTTTGAAATTTCATCTATAAAAGTAGTTTCTACACTACTTTCCAAGGTCTTCATATAAAAACAAGCAAGCAAACAAAAACCAGAGAAGATTATACGAAAGAATCCAAAGCTCCAGAAACAAGGGTTCTGAAGAGGGACAGCCTGGGGCTGCTTCAGACCTGTTGTCCCGATTAAAGCGTGTCTCCCAGGCGACTTTGCTAATGAGGTCAGTCAAGCAAGACAGGCCTTTATCTGCTTGGGGCTCACTGTTTTTTGTGTCCTTTCTCCCTCCTCGGCACGGGGTGACTTGGTCACTGAAAGCTTTGATGAGATGTGAGTTCGATCCCTGGGTTGGGAAGATCCCCTGGAGAAGGAATTGGCAACCTGCTCCAGTTTTCATGCTGAAGAATCCCATAGACAGAGGACCCTGGCGGGCCCAAGTCCATGGGGGTCACTGAAAGTCTGACACAACTGAGCATGCAGACAACCAACAAATCCTGGTATGGACCACTTGAGTCCTTTCAATCTTGGTTTTAGAATAAGACGTTGTGTCTCAACGCCATTTCTTTTATAAGTGACACTCCTTTGTAAAACCTTGACAGAGCATCATTGTAAGAGATATCAAAGATAAGATGCTTCCATCTCTTTCAAAGAGCTTCTATTTCTAGTAAATGTAATAGGACATCCATGTAAGTTACAGATAAGGGTCTGGAAGGAGCATGGACAGTGCAGAGGGCGGGGCATCAAAGAAGTTTCATGAAGGAGGTCATATCTGAGTTGGGCCTGGTGAGGAGGTGGTTTGTACCAGGTCTGCATGGTTTCTCAGTCGAGGGATGAGAGAACGTGAAGCCTGGTCGTCCAGGTTAGTGGGTGCGTTGGGATGTGGGAGAGACAAGGCTGGGCGGGTTAATCGGCGTCTGATTATGGGCAATCATAAGCTCCTGGTAGGGAGCTTGACTTGTTGTGGGGATTACTGAGCTATGGAAGGTCCCTGAGCAGGAGAACGATTGGTTTAGGGTTGTGCTTTAAACCCACAGATCTGGCCTTACTCTCCACATGGTAAACAATCTTTGCGGTTCATGCAGTGTGTTCTCTGGGCCTAGGAGACAGGAGCACTAACGTGGCGGGTGGAGTGGGCTGACACTGAGGCGCCCCAGCGCCCTGGGGAGTCCGCACTGTTGCAGAGTCGGTTACCCTGTAGGGCTTCCTTCATGCAGAAAAAGCCAAGTGCTCTCACCAGCCCACCAGCCTACAAAGTGTCTGCGTGAATTTGCCTGGCACGGGGAGCGGGCCGTGGAAGAAGGCGGGCTTGGCCGGCACGCTGAGAGCACTGGCTTCCAGGCTGCGCTCGCCCTCGGCCTTGTGCGTACACTGAACCTCGCACTGCAGCCGCCCCCCTGGGGCTTCTCCGTGCACTCGGCTTGGAGCACTCTTGTGAGGACACCCTTGCTCACCACACCCTGCAGAGGCGTGAAGGATGGCGCGTCTGGGTGTTATCTAGTTGTGGCTAAGGAGGCAGCTTGTGTGTCTCAGTGGAAAGACAGTGAACAACCAGGAAAAGGAGGCCGTTTATACTTGTGCATATGCCTGAAATATTTACATTCTCCGATAACAGTTTTTCTGACACACATACGCTCTTCATGAGGAAGCTGAGAAAGTGAGTGACAGTCTCTCCATGTCCAACAGCTTCTTGGACTTAGTCCAGAAAACACAGCACGGGAAGATGTGACTCTGGCACTTCTGGGCCAGGCCAGCAGGGCCAGCAGAGTGGACGCAGGGAGCCAGGGTCAAGGTAAGGGGCAGTGACAGTCGTCCTAGGGTGTCTGAACGTTCAACCCTCTCAGGACCACCGAATTTCCTTGACCAGTCAGCATCCGTTGCTTCTGGGACCATCCCAGGGGGGCTGGTAAAGATACCTTGACCTCTAACAGGACAAATAGGAAGATAAAAGATCAGTATATAGTGAGGACCAAATGAACACCACAGATCATTTCCAGAAGGAGGAGGCCTGCGGGGGCAGAGGTGATCATTCCAGTCAACACCCCGGTCAGTCCTGGCTGACAACCCTACAAGTGGGTAATATGATCCCTGGTTTGGGGATCACATTTCCACTCTGTCCCTCAACATGAACATGATCATCATACAATTTCTTCCATTCCCTCGTGTTCTTTCCTAAATTTATTTTTGGCCGCACTTGGTCTTCGTTGCTGTGCACAGGTTTCTCACTGCAGTGGTTTCTCTTGTTGCGGAGCCCAGCTCTAGGGCATACAGGCTAAGTAGTTGTTGCCTTGCGGCATATGGAATCTTCCTGGACCAGGGATCAAACCTATGTCCTGTGCATTGCATTGGCAGGCAGCTTCTTAACCCCTGGACCACCAAGGAAGGCTGCATGTTCTTTTTTTAAATTTTATTTTATTTTTATTGGTTTATTTTTCTGGTTGTGTCATACAGCTTGTGGGATTTTAGTTCCTCAACCAGAGATCACACCCAGGCCCTCGGCAGTGAGAATACAGAGTCCTAACCACTGGGCCACCAGGGAATTCCCATTCTCTCAGGTTCTTCACCAGGGTGGTTAACGCGGGTGCTGCCCTCAGCTGACTGGCGCGCTCCAGGATGGATGTGAGCCTGGGACTCTGTGCCTGTTGCTGTAAGGTGTCTGACACTTGGTGGGTGTGCCACTGCTGTCGCTGAATCCCACATGGTAGGAGAAACTCCGCTTGTCTCAGGATGGCCCCCAGCAAGACAGCCTGCCAAGGCGGGTGTAGGTGTGAGTACTGCCTAGAGCAGAATTAAAGCTGGGGCAAGCCTGAGTTTAGGAGGGTTGGAAACTTAGATAAGGACTTGCTTTGGCTTTCAGCCACTCCCTTGCCAGGTGTGTAAAGCCTACCTAGTCCCCTGGTGGAAATGGCATCTTGTAACAAGAATCCAAGGCTGGGTACCCTGGGTGGTCCAGTCCCACAAAAAGGAATGGCCCAGCCTCGCATCAGCAGTCCCGAGATTGTATTAGTCAGGCTAGGCTGGATCATGGTGCAGTTAGAAACTGCCCCAAGTCTCAGAGGCCTAAATAGCAAAGGTTTATTTCTTGCTCATAACTGCTTATCCATTGCAGGTCAGTGGGGAAAGCATATCTTTCTCTTCATAGACACTTAGGGAGCTGGGCTGGTAGAAGGGGGCTCCATCTTGAGGTAAGAAAATCTGCACCTAGGAGCTTAGAAACCTGGAAGTGATCCTTAACACTTCCACCCACATCCCAATGACCAAAGGAAACCACACCTGATTTCCCAGAGGTCAGGGATCACAGTGAAATGACAAGGTGCCCAGAGGGAGGAAAACAATACTCAAGAACCCCTAAGATACCCACAGGGGAGACTAGCTGGTGGAAAGGAGTTGGGAGGAGGAGGGCTTGTTCCGACTGCAGGTCCCCTCTCCACCCAGACTGAGCCAGATGCAGGGAGAGAGCCCACCTCTGGACCTCTTGGCACCCCGGCAAGTTTTCCCTTCCTGAAGCTTTCTCATCAGGCTGTGAGATTCAGCTTAGCCCTGGTCATTCTAACCTCATCACGATGGTCAGCAGGAAAAAGGCAGCATCAGGACCAGGGCTTAAAAAACCTTCAGAAACCAAAGGGCTTTGTTGTTGTTGAATTTTCAGAAACTAGGGAGGAAAATGTGAAGTGAGGACAGAAACACTTTTCAGACAAAGCAGAGACGCCTCTGCCTCTGTCAGGAGTGTTGTGTTGCTTTTGTTGTTTAGTCGCTCAGGGGTGTCTGACTCTTTTGCGACCCCATGGACTATCATCCACCTGGCTCCTCTGTCCATGGGATTTCCCAGGCAGGAATACTGGAGTGGGTTGCCATTTCCTTCTCCGGGGATGTTTCCCGAACCATGAACTGAACCTACGTCTCCTGCATAAGCAGGCAGATTCTTTACCATCTGAGCCACCAGGGAAGCCTGTCAGGAGTGTTGGACAAATATAAACAGGGCTGGGCTGCAGGGAGATGCCCCCTGCAGAGCGCGACTCAGGAGGCCACGTGCATGAGGATCCAGAGGCTACCAGGAGGAAGGACTGTGCCCCCCTCCCCACGCCACACGTTTCCCGCCCCATCCCCGCCTCTGCAGCAAAGGCAGAGCCTCTGAGCTGGAGAAGGGCAGCAGGAAGGCATTTGCTGAGATGAACTGGTGGTAGTGGGGGCATGGAAACCGGAAGATGCTTGCGGGGCTTCTACGCCTGCTTCTCCTGGACCAAAACAGCTCATCACACCCCTCCTCTCAGCTATAACAGCCTTGTTCCTTAAGTCTTAGGTTAACTGTCATGTCTCTGGGAAGTGTCCCTGACCCCCAACCCCCCAAACCGGGCTGACTGGGCCTTCTCTGTGCTCCCTAAACATCCTGTGTTCTTGTTTCTACCCAAGCAGGCCTGTGCCCTCAGGATCTATTACCATCCCAGGAACAAACCAGATGTGCTATGACTCTCAGAATGAAAGAGTGATGGGGCTGGTGAAGGCGTGGCATTCCTGCTTCAGGATGTCAGCAAGCCAGGTGGAGGGGCTGGAACTGGAGGTAGCTGATGCACCTGGTGGCTGCAAGGTCAATGTGGGATCCCCTCTGCTTGCTCAAGGCTGCCTGAACCACAGCTGCAGGGTCTTCCTCAGATCTGACAACTCAAGCCCCTCGGGATCCAGTGCAGACTCCAGGACCCTCCAGGTCAGCCCACGGCTCTTCAAAGCAAAGAGCTGAGCTGCCACAGGGCCTTGTCCAGCTCCATCCCCTAGATGCCTCGGTTTGCCCCAACCCAGGTGGCCACACTTTGAATCAACCTCACATAATTTCCAGTGGCAGGTTCTGGGCCCCATCCCTAACTCACCGCCCCAGGGACTCCCTAGTATTAGGTTCTTCCAGGGAGGAGACATTCCCATCCCCTTCCAAAAACATCCAGTATGTCCCCAGACTGTCTCCTGAATCTCTCCCTCCTGGATCCCTGGGGAGTGGGCCACTCCTGGGCACTGGGACACAGGAGGACCTTGGTCACACCCACCCTCTGCCTCAGTGCCTCAGTTTACCCATATGTAAAACTTGAGTTGCCCCAGCCCCTTGTCTCTTTATAGGTTTGGGAAATGTCGATATTAAAGCCCTAGCAGCTCTTTGGAAGAAAGATGCTCTATTTTTATGATTTTGTCCTCTAGCTTTCTGCCCACCACCTCCCTGGAACCTTCTGGAATTGCTGCCTGGGCCATACCAGGAGTTCAGGAAGCAAATCATTTCAGGCCTGGAACATTCAAACACGGGCAATGGTTTTGTCCAAGTGCCTTTAGTTCAAAGGGAAGCAGGTTCAAAGCCACTCAGTGTTGAAGTGGGGTCCTTGAGCCAGAAAAATCCAGGAATGCCCAGCCTTGTCGCTGGGGAAGTCAGCTGGCAGAAGGGACTCTTCAGAAATGTGGGGAGGCCTGTAGAAAGGGCCTCCAGGTGTGGGCCGCCCTGGGCACCAGGCCCAGGACCTCAAGCTGCAGCCGCGTGGGCCTGTAGGCGTTGAGGTTGCTGTAGAGGGCGGGCGGGCCGTCATGGGGCCTCGGGGAGAAGTGGGCCTGTGGGGTCAGGGCCCCCCAAGGGCTGTGGTGGGGCTGGAACCTGGAGGCAAGCAGTGGGTTTGGGGCCAAGGGGCTGCCGGGCCCCGAGGACGTGGACAGGCTCCGGGTCCGGGGGTTGCTGCCCGCCGATGGGCTGTTGAAGGGGTTGGAGGATGTGCCGTCACTGGCGGAGCCGCTGCTGTCACTGAGGCGGCCGGACGGGGGCCCGGGGGCTGCTGCGGGCTGCAAGGGTGTGGCCAGCCTGGGCGACCTGAGGCCCATGACAGGCTTGGAGGAGGCGTAGAGGTGGCGGAACTCCTCATCGAACAGCTCCACCGGCTGGCCCGTGAACTTGGAGAGGATGTTCCGGTGCACGTGCCCACAGAGCCAGGTGAAGCTGGAGGGAGAGGAGAGAGAGTGAGGGGGCGATGGGGGGGCCGCGGGCACCCTGCTCCGGAGGAGGACCAGGAGGACGGCAGGTGACTGACTGAACCCCCAGTGACCCCTCCCGTGGATACCCAAGCTGAAGCTCAGAGACAGCGAGTGTGTGTGTGTGTATGCGTGTGTGCGTGTGTGCGTGCGCGCGCCTGTGCGCGTGTGTGTGAAGTCATTTCAGTTGTGTCTGACTCTTCACGACCTTATGGGCTGTAGCCTGCCACGTTCCTCTGTCCATGGAATTCTCCAGGTAAGAACACTGGAGTGGGTTCCCATGCTCTCCTCCAGGGGATCTTCCCGACCCAGCCATCAAACCTGCGTCTCCCGCATTGGCAGGTAGATTCTTTACCACTAGTGCCACCTGGGAAGCCCCAGTGAATGTTTGCATGGAAGTAATTAAGATGCAGAGGGAATCCTAGCCTTGGGTCTCCTGGTGCTCAGATGAGAGCCCCTCAGAAGTCCCCATGGAGGCACAGAGTGCTGGCCGAATGCCAGCGTCCCCCCACTGTGCTGCTGGGGGTCACCAGCCTCTGGGGCCGCAGCAGCCCCACCTGTGACATGCACGACATCTGCCTCTTCCAAACAAATGAGGGTCTGGACTGCTCCTTGGATGGCAGGGCTGTGGGCTCATGAAACTCAAAAGGGTGTAGCCAGGTTTTCAGGCAAATGAACTAGAAGGGCTGGGAGGGGAAGGGAGAGTCCTATGCTTTGAGGGGATGGGAAGGAGCATACTGTGGGGGTGGGGGTGGGGACAGGACAGGAGAGATGCTACATGGAAGGTTTGCCTGGACACTGCGGGAAGACACCCTCAAGCAGAGGCCCTGAACTTCCCCCTCATTTACACATTTTATTGAAAACAAAATGCTTAAGGCATTTTTGTGTTTCTTTTATGATTCCCTAATTTAAACGAATTTCTTTCTATCTCTGATTGAAAACTCTCTTCATCACCCCACTCACCCCTGAAGAGGCAAGTGATAGCACAAAAGACTGTCAGGTTAGTCTTGACAGTCTATCAAGAGAATCAATAATGTGGGCCCAGGTCTAGAGCAGTGGATACAGACTGGTCAGAGGGAGACAGGGTCACTGTGCGGAACAGAAGGGTCTCAGCCTCCAGGCCCCAACTTGTCTTTCCGCCAAAAGGCAGGTCCAGCTTCTGGAGTCCCCTGCTCTGTGAGGCAGGCGGGGCCCATGCAAAGCTGGGGAAATCCTGGGAAGAACAATAAGGCTTTGTCCAAACCTCACCTCCCGCCCAGGAGCCACCCACACAACCCAGAGAGGCGGGCAGCTAATGCTGGCTCTGGTCAGCCCGCTGACAGGCAGGCAGCACGCTTGGACAGCAGCACTCTTGGCTACCCTGGGAAGTCAGTCGTGGAGCTTCCCTGGAGGTCCAGTGGTTAAGACTGCGCTTCTACTGCGGGGTTCAATCCCTGCTCTGGGAATTAGGATCCTGCAAGCTGCACAGAGCGGCCCAAAAAAAAGAAATCGCCCTGTATTTTTTGGAATCAGCCTAGATTAGACCAAGCAACTGCATGCTTTCTCTAACAAAGAAGGTCCAAAGGTGCCCAGGCAACTCTTCAGGCCCCACACACCCTGTGTGCCCTGTGCCCCCACCCAGGGCCCCCATGTCCTTACAGCACCTGAGTGCTACCTCCTCTCCACACTCACCGTGTGAGGGTGTGCCTCCCTGACACCCCAAAAGTCTATTCATCCTGTGCTCTAGCTTTTACACTTTCTTTTATCACCACCCATGGTAAGAGTTTTATTTTTATTGGGTTTTTCTTTTCTGACCCTTAAGTACATAGGGGCTTTCCTGATAGCTCAGTTGGTAAAAAATCTGCCTGCAACGCAGGAGACCTCGGTTCAATTCCTGGGTCGGGAAGATCCCCTGGAGAAGGGAAAGGCTACTCATTCCAGTATTCTGGCCTGGAGAATTCCATGGACTATATAGCCCATGGACTTGCAAAGAGTTGGACACGACTGAGCGACTTTCACTTTCACAAGTGCATAGAGTTGATTTGATCATAATCTTTGGCTCAAGACTCATGCCAAAGATCTATTAATGGCACATTTACACTTACATAGCTTTACTTGGTTATTTTAAATAACCTAAGCACATATGAGCAGGGGAACATGGAAGCCTATGAACAGGGAAGCCTGCTGCAGTCCACAGGGTCACAAAGAGCCAGACACAACTTAGCAACTGAACAACAAGCATCTGTGAACCTACCATGCAAAATAAAAAGCTAACATGTTGACAATGACCTGCATTTAACCACATGGTCCCTTCCAGGAACACATTTTTCCAGTCTCCCCAAAATAGAAGAAATCATCACCCAGAATCCTGTGTCATAGTTCCCATACTTTCCTTTTGCTATAATAAGAAAAAGTATTATATATTCTCAAAAGTACTGTCAGCCTTCCATATACTCAAGGATGAAAAATATTCAGAAAAAAAAGTCTTCCAGAAAGTTTCAGAAACCAAGACTTGAATTTGCCAGTTGGCAACTATTTACATACAGTTTACACTGTATTGGGTATTTTAAGTAATCAAGACATGAAGTATGCAGGAGAATGTGTGTAAGTTATATGCAAATCAGATACCATCTGATATGAGGCACTTGGGTATCCTCGAATTTTGGTATCTGTGGGGATGCTAGAACCAGTCCTCTACAGATGATGAGGAACAATGGTAAATATTTTTATTTTACTTGTTTTTAACATATATGTCATCTTTGGGGGTTTTTTTTCTCTTAAATATTGCTGGTTATTCATGCTATTTCTTATTGCTGTACTTCACTTGTCTTTGTTGTATGATGTTCCACTGGGGGCTCTATCATCCATTCTCTCACTGATAGGCATTTGAGTTTCTTCGATGGTTTTCCTGTTGACCAAGGGAGGAGCACCCTCTCGCACCAATACTTACACTTGTCTTCTGATGTCTCACAGACCAGATTTTCTATCTAGGAGTGGAATTGCTGGGCAAAACCAGGTGAATATTCAGCTTTAGAGGAAATGTCTCTTTCCAAAGTCGCTGTGCTGATTTGAAAACCCATCGGCGATGTAGAAATTTGTAAGTCCACTATTTGTATAGTCAGTCTTTTTTTTTTTTTTTTGATGAATAGGTATAAAATGGTAACTCATTCTAGCCTTGATTTGCATTTTCCTGATCACTTATGATGCTGAACATCTTTTCAGGCGTTTCCTCCTGCATGAAACGCCTGCTCTCACCTCTCGCCCACACTTCCATTGTGCTGTTTTTCATGTGTGGTTTGTGGGAGTTCACTGTGATTCTCAGTGCTAATCTTGTCAGGGCATCATGAAAACCTGTTTCCAGTTTGTAATCTGACATTTCACTTACTTTAAGCTGTCTTTCAGTGAACCAAAGTTCTTAACTGTAGCATAGTCAGATTTAGCAATCTTTTTTAGTCAGTGCTTTTTTGTGTTCTGTTTAACACAAAGGAGTGTCTATGTTAAGACACCTAATCCTTATCCTAAGGTCTAAAAGACATCCATCTCTATATTTTACTAAAAGTATTAAAGTTGTTTTTGACATTTAATTTCTTTTAATCTATTGGGAGGTGATCGTGCGTGTGTGCATGCATGTGTGTGTGTGTGTGAAGTAGAATCCAGTTTTTCACATGGAGAATTTTTCTCCCGGTTTCACTGGGAGCTGGGTTCCCTACAGCTCTCAGGAATGAGTGGCCTGGTGTGTCCTTAAGCCCACTGCCACCCTCCTCCTGACAGTGAAAGTGGCTCAGTCATGTCCCACTCTTTGAAGCCCCAAGGACTGTAGCTCTCCAGACTCCCCTGTCCATGGAACTCTCCAGGCAAGAATGCCAGAGTGGGTAGCCATTCCCTTCTCCAGCAGATCTTCCCGACCCAGGAGTTGAACCGGGATCTCCTGGTTCACATTGCAGGTGGCTTCTTTACCAGCTGAGCTACCTGGGAAGCTCTGGTGCCCCCCATATCAAGCCCAGCCTGCAGTCCTGGTTAAGGAAGCTGGTGACCCTGGCCCAATCACCCAACCTCTATATGCCTTAGTGCCCCCATCTGTCAGTCAGAAGAATGATGCCTCCCTCTACATGTGACAAAGATTAAATCCCTACTAAAGGTCTGATGGAACCTGGCCCAGGACCTGGCTCAATAAAGTGGT